GCTAACTTCCCAACTTCTAGAGTGGAAATGAATCACAGATTAGCCATTTAAGACGAACTGCCTTAGAGAACTGGGCCACTTGCATCCCACATCACCAAAGGAAGTTGGTACAGGACCAGGTTGAATCTGCAGCCTGAGCTAATTCTCAGACTATGCAAACTAGGTACTGCCTTTATTTGCATAAAAACTACATGAATGTTTTCCAACCGCCACGTTGACATCTTTCCTGGGCATTGGCATTCCCAGTAGATAGTATCCCTGCTTTGAAAGTCTCTCTCCTCAAACACACACTGCCCCAAGGCTCTTTCCTGAACAACAGCGTTAAGCGAGAGGTAACAAATAGCTGTGAATTTTGCTAAAAAGAGAATCAGATCTCTATAGTCTTGGGAGCTGCCATCTCCTTAAGTAGCTGTATGAACAGACAAATCGCTTTAGAAGTGGTTTCGTTCCTTCCCCCACCTTTAATATTTCATTTATTCATTTCAGATATTTATATATCACTGCAAAGTCAGAATTTCCAAGCAGTGTACATAAACAAAAAATAATGTTTTAGAAAAAACACATACAGGAAATAAGAACAATTAAAAATACTCCGTAAGAACAGCAAAACTGCCTTAAAATGTCTGCTGGAATAAGGAAGCTCTTTGTCATGAGTCTGTAGGTCAGAAAGGAGGGTGCTTGTCTAATCTCAGTTGGAAGGGAATTCCACAGCCTTGGGCTCACAAGACTGTAAATGTGTCTCCTGGTCAGCCATGCAGCTGTGCCCTGGGAGACGATCAACAGAGACTCCCCCAAAGATCTTAGCGATCAGGTAGAGGTACAAGGGATCAGGCAGCCCTTAAGATACCGTGGACCCAAGTTGTTAAGGGCCTTGTAAAATTAACACCAAAACCTTGATCATGGCCTGGTAACATGTGAGCAACCAGTGTGAGCTTTTAAGCACCAATGTTATGCGCTGGCAGAGTCCAGTCACAGCATTTTGGACCAGCTTTCACATTATTACCTCCCAAGGCATACAGCAGAGAGATTTGCGTGCTTCCAGAATTGCTCCACTTGTAATAGTACTTACTTTTTCAGAACAAACTGAAGGCCCAAACCCCTATGATGCAACTGCGAAGAGGCACCAATTCATGCCAAGTGTTTGCCTTTTGCACATCACTCCTGTTGCTGGATCTTGGGGTCCAACAAAACACAAGGCAGATCCCACACACCTGAATTCTGCCCTACCATGGTATAGACAGGAGAGTTCAGCAGAGCTGGGACCCAGAATATCCATAAGGTGGCAACACTAAAAGCAGTGCGCCATTTGCTTGTTATTGGATTAAAAACAAAACAAAAACGCCAATCTCGCTTTTTGGAAATAAAGTGTGTCCCTTGACAAGGGGTGTCATGATGCAGGAATTTATCGCGTAACCAATTTTTTAAAAGGCAATCTGTTAATTCTATAGGCCTATGCTATCAACCTCGGGGAAGAAGAACCTTAACACAAGTCACAAAAGCAAACACAGGTATTTTCTTTTCCGAGAGAGAGAGAGATTGCCATGCCAAGAGTGTCCTGTGTCATCTTAAAGACCAACAGATTTATTGCTGCATAAGCTTTGATGGACAACTTCCATCAGCTGCATACCATAAAGAGATTCTTAAAGTTGGCTGTAACTTTTAAAGACAACCACAAAGGAAACAAAACCTGGCTTGGGTGCATCAATAAAACTATTTTTGAGACTACCACGACTAAAAAGGCCAGAAACGAATCAGAATGAATACAAGGGTGCTTTCAACACTTTGGAGCGTCTTCACTCTACAATGCTACAACAAATTTTAGGTATCAGCTTCTTCTTTTTCTGGCGGCACTCAGTCCTCAGTACCATCAGCTTTCTGCCCCCTGCCCAAATCTTATGACGACCCTCGTGGCCTCTTCCAATTCTATGATTCAACTATTGCCTCCCCCATTCCATGCACCCAGTTCCTAAGAAAAGGTTGTTTAGGTGGCAAGGCAAGCATCAATGATTTTATCCCCTTGCGCTTCCCAGCCACGCAACAGGACAAGGCTTCGGAGGCACCCACAGCGTAGGCGCTTGGCTGTCGCGCATGCACACCACTTTTCCACTCTTTAGCCAGTGGCAGTGGCGGTGGGTGGGCCATGGAAGGAGGGGGAAACAGTAAGTCTGGGGTACAGAGGGGGAGGGAGATGAAGCCCCCGCAAGCCTGCGCATGTGCGGTCAGGCAGCGGCACAGGCACAGTGCAGCCCAGCTGCTATGAGCGGACAGGACAGGATGGGTGGGTGGCTGGCTGGCTGGCTGGCTGCCTGGCCAGCCCATTGGGTGGCAGACATTTGGGGGCGGGTTCCCATGACCACCCCCCGTGAAAAGGGCAGTGGCAGTAGCAGGTGGATTGCTATGAACCTGGTGAGTACTGACACTTTTTTTCCAAGAAAAAAAGGCACTGGGTATCAGTAAGATGTGAGTGAGAGTGATGGAGCTGTTAGTGTTTTGGGCTAGGACCTAGGAGATAAAGTTTCAAATCCCTACTCAGCCATTAAGTTCACTAGCTGACTTGAGCTAGGCACTATTCCTACCTCACAGGGTTGTTGAGAAGATGGAATGGGATGGCGGGGGGGTGCACTTCAACTGGAGCAATTTGGAGGGGAAGTAGGGTACAAATGCCGTAACAATGTCAGAACTCTTTCCCGCTAAAGCATTACTGCACAAGATTGTAATGCAGAACTTTCTCTTCTACCAATCAGGCCTGGAGCTATGCCAGGGTCACGACCAGGGGCTCAGGATCCCAGCAACAGGACCCACTAGCACTGAAGCTGGTCTCAGGTCTTCCATATGGGGCAGCTGGCTGTGTAAACCTCCATTTCAAAATTTCCAAGATGTTTTCCAATGAAACCATGTTAGGAATATAAGAAAAGCCTTTTGAACCATCAAAGGCCCAGCTACTCCAGCATCCCGTTCTCCCAGGAGCTAACCAGATGTCTATGGAAAGTTGGAAGCCTGGAAAAGAGGACACTGAGAGGAGATATGATGGACACCTTCAAATATCTAAAGGGCTGTCACATGGAAGATGGAGCAAGCTTGTTTTCTCCTGCTCTGGAAGATTCAAGTTACAAGACAGGAGATTCCACCTAAACATCATGAAGAACTTTCTGTTGGTAAGAGCTGTCAGATAGTAGAATGGACTTCCTCGAGAGGTTGTGGACTCTCCTTTGGAGGTATTTAATCCATCTGTCATGGATGCTTTAGTTGAGATTCCTGCATTTGAACTAGATGACACTTGGAGTCCCTTCCAATTCTCCAGTTCTTTGATTCTATGATAGCACCTAAGTGCAACAATAGTTGTGGTTCCCAGCAACTGATATTTAGGGACATATAGCCTATGACAGTGGAGGCAGAGCATAGACATTGCTCTAGGGCACGGTGAGAAAAGGGCAGATCCCAGCCCTGCTTGGAGCGCTGCTGGCAGGAAAGCTTGAAGAGGCCCAGCCAAAAGGTGTTGTGCCCAGTTTATAGGGACGCAGGTGGAGCTGTGGTCTAAACTTCTGAGCCTCTTGGGCTTGCCGGTCAGAAGGTTGGCAGTTCGAATCCCCACGATGAAGTGGGCTCCCGTTGCTCTGTCCCAGCTCCTGTCAACCTAGCAGTTCGAAAGCACGCCAGTGCAAGTAGATAAATAGGTACCACTGCGGCGGGAAGGTAAACGGCCCTCTGATTTCCGTCACAGTGTCCCGTTGCGCCAGAACCGGTTTAGTCCTGCTGGCCACATGACCCGGAAAGCTGTCTGTGGACGAACGCTGGCTCCCTTGGCCTGAAAGCAAGATGAGGGCTGCAACCCCATAGTCGCCTTTGACTGGACTTAACCGTCCAGGGATCCTTTAACTTTTTTTTTTTACCTTTTGTGCCCAGTTATTGATGCAAGGAACACAAAGACCCATCCTTGTCATTTTCCCCTTTCTTCCCCCAAAAGAAACAAAGGGAGAAAGCCCCACTTTCCCACCCCACATTTGAAACCCAAACTGACTCTCCTGACCCTCGTTGGAGCCAGCTGCCTTCATCCACATTCCAGCCAAAAATAATAACAGAAGAGCCCAGTTTGGAGGAGAGTTAATCTAATCTTCATTGCTTCAGTTTTAAAATATCCTGCTTGGTTTTGGGTTTCTTGTTACATGGAGGGATATGTTTTTAGTGAGATAGGTCTTAGCGTAAAGGTCCTTCGTGGAAGCTTCGTGTAACCAGATACCAAAGAAAGCCAGCTCTGCTGCAGTCCAAACAACACACACACACACACACACACACACACACAGGGAGAGGGAGAGAGAGAGAGAGAGAGAGAGGGACAGACATCGGCATCTCCACAAGGCAACCCTTTGCAAGCAAGCTCTGCTGAAGCCGAACTCCCGACAGCCGTAATTATGTTAATGCCTCTGCAAAAACTATTTATAAATTGTGCTTCATTGTAGAAACCTGCAAAACGTGTCAGCAGCAGCTCCCTGATTCTTCCCACCCTCAAAAAAAGTTTACTTCTGATTTGAGAGAGATACCTGCATAATTACATTTCTTTCTCTCTCTTTTTTTAAAAAGAAGACGACGACCCCTCACTCATACATTTTAAGGCGTCAAGCCAATATTTTCTAGCTTCTGCTACTATTCTGCTATCAAAGAGACTGAAAATTTTACCCCTTAGGAGAAAAGAGTTTAGGATACATTTCAGGGATGTGACATGAAATTTACACACCTGTGCAGGCACATAGTAGGGACAGCTGGAGGATGTTCAGTCTGCATTCTCAGTTGAATTGAACCAAACACTTCCTGGACAGATCACAGCCAGATCATAATGGAATTATCCTTCAGTTTTCACACTTTTCCTGAATTTCTGCAACGCAACTTTCAGTTCAAAGAGCCCCAAAATGCCTATTTTAGGTTAAAAGCGTGAAAAGACAGAGTCTCACCCTCTTATATACCTAGCGATTACCACGCTCTGCAGGAGAGGACCTCTAGATCTCATCCTATCATTAGGTATTTTTGGTTAGAGCGTGGTGCTGATAATGCCAAGGTTGCAGGTTCGATCCCTGTATGGGACAGCTGCATATTCCTACAATCCGGGGGGTTGGACTAGATGATCCTCAAGGTCCCTCCCAACTTTATGATTCTAAGTCTTCCTTGTGTGTTGCTACTGGGATCCAATTCTCTCCTGCCATATAGAGCCAAGGGCTATGCAGAAGAGCTCTTGTCCCTTCTTTATCCTGCTGTTCCTGAACAGCAGAAACATGCGCAAGACAAAATAAATAAATTTTACAGAAATCTTCCATGTACCTGTATTCCTCAGTGAATGCAGTGCATCAGGGCAGGACTTGTGGGCAGAGGTCAAGGGTCCCATTCAGAAAAAATGAAGCTGGGCTGACTTACTACGCTTGAAATGATACACATTACCGTCCAAAGAAGGGACCACTGAGCCCTAAAGTCTAAACTTACAGTCGTACCTTGGATCCCGAATGCCCCGGAACTTGGATGTTTTGGCTCCTGAATGCCGCAAACACAGTTTGTGAACATTCTTTCAGAACCCAAACGTCCGACAGAGCTTCCGCAGCTTTCGATTGGCTGCAGGAGCTTCCTGCAGCCAATCAGAAGCCGCGATTTGGTTTTTGAACATTTTGGAAGTCGAACAGAATTCTGGAATGGATTCCGTTCGACTTCCAAGGTATGACTGTGCTTTACTGCACCACTGAGAAAATTGGGGGCAGAGGAGAGAGGCTCAGCAATTGCTTACACAGGGTCCCTTCCAGGAAAGACTTTTACCACCAAGTAGTCAAGGGTGATTTCATTGATGGGCCTAAGACAGCCTTAGACTGAGAAACGGTCACTTATCTAATGCTGCAGTTCAAAGACCGTCTCCTGCAAACAGCTTGCTCTAGGCAGCCATTGTTTATTCCATTGTTTATTCCAGGGTTGGAGATGATGGGAACTGTGTCCAGAAACATGCATGCCCTCCAAGTATCCCTATTTTCCAGGGACAGTCCCAGAATTACGAAAAATTACAATTTGATCCAGGAATATCCCTATTTCCACCACCAGTGCCACCAGTGCCCAGCTTGGAGAGCAGGATGAGCTGGTATCAGCAATGGCAGAGGCCTCCCATTGCTTCTCCATGGCCACTGCCGCTGGCCTCCTCATTTGAGCAGCTTGTCCATGGAGGCGCAGGTCAGTTCTGTGTCCAGGGCAGCTGTTTACCAACTCCATCTGGTACCCAGGCTGAGACCCTACCTGCCCGCAGACTGTCTCGCCAGAGTAGTGCATGCTCTAGTTATCCTCCTGCTTGGACTACTGCAATGTTCTCTATGTGGAGCTACCTTTGAAGGTGACTTGGAAACTACAACCAATCCAGAATGCGGCAGCTAGACTGGTGACTGGGAGTGGCTGCCGAGACCATATAACACCGCTCCTGAAAGACCTACATTGGCTCCCAGTATGTTTCCGAGCACAATTCAAAGTGTTGGTGCTGACCTTTAAAGCCCTAAATGGCCTCAGCCCAGTATACCTGAAGGAGCGTCTCCACCCCCATCTTTCTGCCTGGACACTGAGGTCCAGCGCCAAGGGCCTTCTGGTGATTCCCTCCCTGCGAGAAGTGAGGTTACAGGGAATCAGGCAGAAGGCCTTTTCGGTAGTGGCGCCCACCCTGTGGAACGCCCTCCCATCAGATGTCAAGGAAATAAACAACTATATGACTTTTGGAAGACATCTGAAGGCAGCCCTGTTTAGAGAAGTTTTTAATGTCTGATGTTTTATTGCTTTTTTATTACTATCATTAATTCTGTTGGGAGTTGCCCAGAGTAGCTGGGGAAACCCAGCCAGATGGGTGGGGTACAAATAATATATTCTGTTGTTGTTGTTGTGGCTGCCAGAGAACAGGCAAGGAGGAGAGGCTACTGCTGCCTCTGAAGCCTAGCCTCACATTACGTGTCAGCTCTGAGGTACAGACAGGGGCAGACCCTCCATGGTCAGAAAGAAAGAGGGAGCCTTGATTTATTTTAAAACAATGCTTTGTGTGTCCATGTCTAATTTTGCCCCTTTCTAAAATTTATTAAATGGGGTGTGTTTTTCTTTTTGTAAATCTACCAAAGAATAAAATAAAATCAGGATTGAGGGGTTTTCTCAAGACAGTGGACGGCATGTGTGCTGTGGCTCATTGATGTAGTGGCGGTAAAAATGCTCTGCTGGGGAGGGCAAAAATGGAGAGCTGAGGGAGGTTAGTGTGGAGGTAGTGAGAAATGTCCCTATTCCCATCTGAGGAATGTTGGAGGGTATGCATCTGAAGGGCCACAGGTTTCCCACTTCAGCTTACTCACACTGCCGAAGTTGAACCAACAGGAGAAAAAAGGTTTCCTTGCTACTGTCTCGCTTTGGGCTGTAAACAATGTACAGTGGTACCTCGGGTTAAGTACTTAATTCGTTCTGGAGGTCCCTTCTTAACCTGAAACTGTTCTTAACCTGGAGCACCACTTTAGCTAATGGGGCCTCCTGCTGCCGCCAGAGCACAATTTCTGTTCTCATCCTGCAGCAAAGTTCTTAACCCGAGGTACTATTTCTGGGTTAGTGGAATCTGTAACCTGAAGCATATGTAACCCGAGGTACCACTGTACCTATGAAGCCAGCAGAGCTTTCTTCTGAGTGTAGGATCCGCCTGGGAATCTAAACCCTTTAAGTTCAGGTTCCAACAGATCAACAACTTCCACAGTTTCACTTTTATCTCCCCTCCTCTTAAATACATCAGGCATCTTGTTCTTGAACACAAACTTTGGATGCATCAAGAAGCAAAGTGCCAAGTCTCTCTGCAGCACTGATGCAATTGTGTTCCTTACGAATCGAGCCTAGAATCAGAAGTCTGCAAAGCTTTTATTTGTGAATAAAAAACAAACAAACACTATTCATTCTTACATACTCATTGCAAACCCATTCCTCTCTCTGCACAGAAGAGGAACCTTGAAATTAATGAACCTCAGTTGGCTCTAGTAAGTCTACTCTGAGCAGGGCAAGCATTGGACACAACGGAAAGTTTGCAGACGTACAAACAGGGAAAAACAAATAACGCATGTGTATATAAGACAGGGCATAGCCCAATGAAAATGGAGCAAGCTCGGTGGGCACAGACTGTCAGCAGCTGGGAAATGAAAACTGGAGAGGGGAGGAATGGAATATCCTGGAAAGGGCATGGCTGGCTAGCTGGCACGCTGAAGAGGAGCATTCCACATTGCTACATTTTATTGCAGCACCTATTTGTATTAAGCCTCGGGAGCAGTAGCCTGCACGGGGACAGCCAGGTGCGCAGGAAAGTGGCATCCTGGTTGGCATGAACGAGTGTGTGATGCAGAGAAGGCGTGAGTGCTGTTGCAAGAGGGGCACAGAGGACGATGCTATGGTAATAAATGAGAAGAGAGGAGAGTAGGCTGCAGAACACAAAGAGGTGGGGAAAACACTTGAAAATGCATACATCTCAACCTGGCATAAGTAATGTGAGGCTTCTAGCTTAAAAAATAAAAATAGATAAAATTTAAAACAAACAAGTATGAAACCTATGCTTCTCATCCCCCTCTAGTGGCTATTTCCTATAGAGTAGCTAAGAAGATTCTACTGGCAGCTGCAGTTATAAGTGGACCACTGTTTCTGCTCCAGGTATGTTCACAGTACCACTTAATCTGCACCCAGTTTTTGAAGGCACATTCACACACCACTAGCAACAAACCATAGAGAGCCTGCATTTTCTTTTCTTTTTTTTTCATACTTTACAAAGTTGTTGTGGTACTTCACCAGATCTTAACCTCTTACAATGTTTGTAAGAATGGATTCCAAATATCATTGAATTTGTCCACGGCGAGTCTGCGTTTCTATGCAAGTTGTTCATATGTTGCGAGTTTGTATAAATCCAATCAGAGAAGGGAGCCACATTTTTATTTTCCAGTTCATCAGTATCAGTCTTTCTGCTGTGGTAAGGGCACGGAGAATCCACTCCTATTGTCCTTTCGTAAGGCTCCATGTGCCTGTATTTTCTTGACAAATGTTGCTGCTTGATGCATTTTTTCTCAAACCGGCTTCAATCAGACTATTGTATTTAATAGACTATTGTATTTTAATATTCTCTTGGAAGCCACCCAGAGTGGCTGGGGAAACCCAGCCAGATGGGCGGGGTATAAATATATCATCATCATCATCATCAGACTAGAAAACTGGAGCGGTTATGTCAGCATACCCTAACAGCCACGGCATTTTATGTATTCGTCTTGTTCATTCATCTCTCATTTATTTATTGCATTTGTGTTCTACCTTTTCATCCAAGGAACTTGAGATGGCACCCATGGTTCTCCTCCTTTTATCCTGACAACAACCCTGTGAAGTAGGTCAGGCTAAGAGGCAGTGGTTGACCCGGGGTCACCCAATGAGCTTCTTGGCCAAGTGGGGATTTGACCCCTAATCTCCTAGGTCCTAGCTAGTCCCACGCCCTCATCACGATGCCACATCTGCATGCATGTGCAGTTAGCAACTTCAGGAAGAGGCGGGGCAGTTGGGGTTGCAGGGGTGGGGAAGCCAAAAAGGTCATGTGCGTTGGGTGAAGACAGTCTTGCCCCCTCTCTAATGTAAACACAGTAATTGCCTAGCTGTGTTTTAAGCCACTAATGTGAGCATCCCCTTAGATTCATGTGAGGTCTGTGTAGAATGCTACCCTTGAATTTCATGGCCCTTCAGCTCCATATGCATGGTCAGCGCTTTTCGTTTCGAGATACAACACAGGTAAAAGCTTCACAGGTGTGATGTAGGCTCTTTAGCACGAACCAGGATACAGGACCTATCCAGATGTGGGGGGGGCATCAAGATGCTGGACTACAGTTCATAAATCTTCTGGACATGCTGCCTGCAGCTCATGGGAATTGTAGTCTAACAACATCCATAAGGCCACCAATTCCCTGCCTGGGCTCTAGTCTAGCTGTTCTTAAGAGAGGAACAACTGCTTTGTTGAGCTGTCTGTAAACACAGCTCTAAGTTCTGCACAGAAAAAGGTGTGCAGAATTAATTGAGGGGCCGGAGAGACTCA